CACCAGATGTTAAAAGCTGCAGGCTTGGGTTTGAAATTCTACTCAGCTGCTCGAGGAGCAGAGAAACTGCTCCAAACTCTTCCCTGCCCGAAGAAGAACCAGGAGGAGATCCTTGAGACTGGAGAGCATGGAAGACAGTCCTCTGCTTGAGCAGCTCCAGCCTGCCTCAGTTTCCCACGCCGAGGCAGAGCAGCTGCAGTGCTGAGGGGCAGCTGCCATCAGGCATCACTCTGCCTGCTTTCCTTGCTGCACTCGCAAGCCAAACTTGCAGCAGTGAAAGCAACAGCTGTTTGTAATCTGACATTTCAATGACAATTGTCAGGAGACAGCAAGCATATGGCAGCTGACTCCTCACATGGAGGGAGCTGCAGCAGCAGAGGCAGCTGGAAGACAGCACTGCATTGAGCTGCAGTTGGGAAGGTCATCTCAGGGATTGACGACTGCATTTCATGCCTTGACTCTTCTTGGAAGCTAGAAAGACAATCAACTAGTGCCTTATGTCTTAATTTCTAACAAAATGCAAGATTTTTTTTCCAGGTTAAAATATGAATGTAACACACATACCAGCCAAACCCCACCTCCTGAAAATAGCATTCTTAATTAGCACTGCTGTCTTTGCTATTTTTCCCTTCTCCTGAGTTATTAGTGGCTGCTATTGAGACCATTGGGACCCTGATTAGTGGGAAGGTATTTCTGCACATTTTCAAAGCAGTCTGTAGCAGAATCCAGTAGGGACAAAGGGCTTTCCTCACAATTAGCATTGCTTTATGATGGTAAACTTAATAATTAAAGGTGGTCTTTCTTCCTCTGTTGGGACTTCTTGGCACTTCTGATGTACTGTTTGAAGACTTTGTGACTAAGCATCAGTGTCATGTGCCTTTGAGTACAGTCAGGCCAAGTGAACAAAAGTGAAACCAACACTAAAAAAAGCTCTTTCTCTGAACCAACTGCATTTCTGCCTGCACTTGACTCACAGCTCAGTAACCATATGCTTATATTCCACTGACAATTGCCATTTAAATGTCAGTTTACAAGCAGATGCTGAGAGCCTGCCTTTGTGTCATTAATTAAATCCCAGAGAGGCGAAGTTTGAGGTCTAACTGTGCTGGCTGGGACAGAGCAGGAGCAGAGTCTGGCAGACCTTGACCCTCCAGGATGGTCAGGGTTAGGTGCACAGGCAAACCCTTGTGTACCTGAGGTCACCGACAGCCCCAGCTGAGGGGCTGTGGCAGCCAAAGGAAACATGTTCTTGGCACTGCCTGGTAGCAATTATGATCTTGTTGACAATTTCAGGCTTTTTGGGATGACTGGCAGCAGCCAGGATAGAGGCAAACCACTGGGTTTTAAAAGGAGACAGATTTAAGTGCTTAGGTAGAGAAAAAAAGGACAAAAATCTATAACAGAAGAACAAGGGAAAGTGGGGAAAAGGAAGTCCTCTCTACCAGACATCTGCACATACTTAAAATCTTTCCCAATAAAGTTCATAATGAATTTAATTCAGTCCCCTATGGCCCAGAGGAATTTTCTGAGTAATAAAAAAGTATTGCTAAGGGATAGATGACTGCCAAACTCCTATTCTCTGCCAGCAGTGAATATTTATACTATTGGCACTTAAATGCTAGGTTTATTTTACTACATAAATGATCCTTTGTCACATATTAAGAATTAATACTGTGAGATTGACTTTTGGGAAGTTAGAATAATGAATCCCAAATTTAAAGTGTTGTTAAATTTGTATGCTTTATTTGTAAAGAGGCTTGGGCTGGGTTTTTTCCAGATTCAAATAGTAGTAAGGATGTGGTAATTCCTATTTTGGGGTAAATTGTTTTGTGGCTTGTTTATGGTTTAACTTTATAATGTAGTTTCAGTCAAGGACCTTTTCATATCTTTTGTTTTGTTTGTTAACCTAAAATATCTAAATCAATATTAAATGAATTCTAAGCGCCTGCTCTTACTTAAAAGTTGAGATGTTCTTATTTACAGAAGGTAACACAAGGGCTCCTGGCTTCTGCTGGCATTTCTCTAATGCCCTTCTGATGATTCAACTGGAATAGTTCAAATGGGAATTGGAAATTTCAAGCACCAGTGATGGACATTGCAGAACCACAGCATTACTTTGTTTATATATATTGTTATTCCATGGAAGAGAAAGCTCTGCTCTGTGTCACTTCCATACAGTGGTCAGGAAAATGGAGGGGAAAAAGCAGAGCTACTAATCTTTCTCCCTTTAATAAGAAGGAGTGGAAGGCAAAGATGAGATGTGAAGAATTATTCCCACCAGGCAGCAAGCTCACAGGAAAAATCCATTAGAGGTGTAAGGTTCAGTGTGGTTCCCATCCAAGCTGGTTAAGGCTGTTTGAGCACCTTTGGCACAGCAGCAGAACACAAACTCCTGGAGTCCAGGCTCAGACTGGCAGCAGCAGGGCTGAGCTCAGAGGCTTCCCGAGGTGCTCTTCTGCTGCTCCACGCTGCCATGCCAAGTGTGAAAGTTGGAAAAAATATTGTCAGTCTGTCAGCATGTTTATTTGCCTGGTGCATCTCCTTTGAGTCAACAAGCATCTTCTCCAAGTGTGAAAATGAACAATTAGTCATGCCTGGAAAACAGTTTTGCAGGCATCCCCTCCTGCCCCCCGAGAGACAAACCTCACTGTGCTGCACAAGGGCACAAGCAGCTCATTTTTCACTCACTGTACACACTACCAGATATTCACTTCTCCAGAACAAAAGTGTCTGAGCAATATAAGGGGGTATCTTAAGTACTTGGCAGTTTGAATTAAAAAGAAAAGTCAATGACAAGGAATTCAGATAGAGGCAAAAAAAATCAAGACATCTCAGAGCAATGCAGTTGGGTTTTAAAAATGAATGCACGCATTGTTTGCTCACAGTTTTTCACAGCAGCATTCATAATTTAGGAAACTATTAATCAGCATGATGAAGGATCCTGTTTCTACCTAAGAACAACAACAAAAAAAAATGATTGTACAATACAGCTTATTTTCTCCTCACTTGAAAGACATCTTCTGGTAAAATTTCATGAGAATTCCAGAGATTTGGGCTTGTGAGCTTTGTGTTTAAGTTCCACCAGAGAAAAAAGCCCCAGTGAAACAACAGAATCCTTCCACTGCCTTTTTATAAGGCTCATCACAAGTCACTGCTCAAGGGGCCTTATTTTCTTTTGGCCCATGATTGACACCCTACAGTTGTTAAGCTGACAGCAGGAAAAGAGCACTGCAGGCCACAAACATTTCCAGGATTAATGCAAAATTCAGATCACAGAGGAACAGCAGGTACTGAACAGTGAGGCAAGGTGGCAGGGGAAAGTCAGGGGCAGGGAGGGGACTGTGGGACTGAGAGCAAAGAAACAGTGGTTGAGGAGAGTTCTGGTAGGCAAAGACCTGAAAATGGCAAAGGTTTTGGTGATGGATTTACTGCTGGCCTGCCAACAACAGCCCTCCAGGGCTCTTAAGCCAGTGCTGTAGGTTTAAGATCTGCTAGTTCCCCATTCCAACAAAGTTATTGTGACAGTAAGTGATTACAGAAGCAAAGGATCCAAAGGACAGATTTTATTTGGTAGCTCATTCAGGGAGATAATAAAAAAAAGTGTGGTTTTTTTTTTTTAAAGGTGTTTCATACCTTTTCTTTGCTTGGGGGTACTGGTGGCGAGAACTTGGACATAGCCTGAAGCTCTGGCAGTTTCAAAGTTATGAAAAATCTTTCTTCTCTTTCCTGCCTCCCTTCCTTGCTACATTCCCATCTTCCTGCTAGTGAAGTGTCCTTTTCCTGGCTTCAAAACCCTGCTATTTCTGAATGGCATTGCCACAGTGACCTGTCCAGTGGGGGCAAAGCTCAGCCTAGAGAAGTAAGAATGAAACAGCTTCTGTGCTGCTGTTGGGAGCAGAGGTCAGGCACCGGGTGAGGAGAACACAGGGTGAGAACTGCCCCAGCAGGACACTCCCTGCTGCAGGGAAGCAGCCAGGTACAGCTTCTGCTCCCTCCAAAGTTTGTGTAAGGCACAGCTCCTGCACAGGGAGGGGAGCAGCAGAGGAGTGACTTTGTGCACCTGGGATGTCACACAAGGTGTCAGGGTTTCCAGCGCTGGCACACAGCAGCAGCAGAGGATGCCACTGAGGTGCCCTGCTCCATGTCCTGCTGGGAACAGCCAGCTCCAGGCCCTGGCATGTTCCTGCAGGGCTGCTGCACCATGAGGAACACGCTCCACGCGGGCAGAACGTTCAGACATCCGACACTTCGGCCACCCCTTTTTAATGCCATTAGTGATGCAGCAACATGTATTTATATTTACATATAAATACAAAATGGTCAGATACCACATTTTAAAGCGTAATTTACAATCTGAAACTGCTTACACTTTCATGACTAGGCTTGGGTTTTTCTCATTTACATTCATCATTTAATTCCACTGGAATTTGATTTTTAAGAAAGCCCAACATATCTTAATTACCATAAAAAGATCCATACACATTTTACTTAAAAATAGCTTCTGTAAGAGGAAATCTACCAAAAATAACACGAAATATATTATTATGCATACATTTTCTTTTTTGTAAAGTACAAACAAGAATCTGATCTCTTCTGGGTATTGCCTGATCTAATATGGCTATAGTTTCTATTTACTGTGTTTGTTTTTCAAAGTAAAGGGAAAGACAGAAGAAGTATAAGAAATGTTAACCAAAATAAAACTGTATTCTTTCCAAAGACACGGATGATCAGAGAAAGAACACTTTGAGAACCAATAAATGACAACAGGTACAAAGGAACACCATCCAAACACTATACAGTGTTTTGTCTGAGCATGTGCCACAGTGACCTTGCAACAGTTATTAAAAACAACAAACAGAAAATGCTACTGGCAGAAAAAGCTGTCAAGCAAAACACTGAAAAATTGGTACCATTTCCTAACAAGTAAGTGCAGAACTGATAGCATTTTATGTGTCTTCCCCCACGTACACAGACCTCTTTCTTGCTCTCTCCGCCCGCAGGACTGATCATTGCCACTCTGGCGGTTTGCTGGATGCCAAACCAGGTCAGAAGGATCATGGCTGCTGCTAAACCAAAGCAGGACTGGACCGTCCCCTACTTCAAAGCCTACATCACCCTCCTTCCCATCGCCGACATCTTCTTCTACCTCAGCTCGGTGGTGAACCCGCTGCTGTACAACATCTCCTCCCGGCAGTTCCGCAGCGTGTTCCTGCAGGTGCTGTGCTGCCGCCTCACCCTGCAGCACGCCAACAGGGAGAGGTTCCTCAGGGCCAACCAGAGCTCCGGGGCGCGGGGCGGCCGCTCCCTGCGCCCGCTGCTCTTCACCTCCTCCAGGCGCGGCTCTTCCACCAAGGGCGACGCCAAAGTTTTCCTCAGCACCTTCCAGAAGGAGCCCACACCCAGCTGCAGCCCACAGGAGCAAGGTCCTGCACCAGGAGATCCCAGCCTGGAAGCGGCGCCCCTCGAGACCGGCTCAGAGCCCGGTCAGGGCACACAGAACGGCCTTTGTGAACATCAAGTATGACTTCGTAAGGCAAAGTTAATGCTTAGCAATGAGACTAAAAACATAGACATTGAAATGACTGAGGAAAGCGACAACATTGCAAAAGGAATAAGTCAGATGGACTTGTTTCCAGTTATGCAAAAGGTACAGGAGGTCTGTATCCTGCTGGGATTTTTAAGTGCACACTGGAAATTCAATCTGCTAACTGAACTCATTAGCTGACAAAAATATCAGCCCCTCTTCTTCACACAGCCACTGAACTTCCCTTGCTGTTGACAGGGACTTGGAAACAAACAGAAAATAATTGCAGCGTCTTTGAAGAAAGAAGGATGCAGGACAAATTGTGTCGGGGGAAAAAAAACAAACCCATCAAACCAACTTGCTTGAAGTTTAGCAGTACAAGAACAACAGAGCAAACGTAAGGAGCAGAAGAGTGGTTATCACGTGTGCCCTCGGCACCACAGCAGAATTGCCCCTCTTCTTGGGCCGGGGACCATTGCAGAGGGGAGTGTTGCAGCAGCTGATGCAGACGGAGTTCACCTTGCCAGGAGAGCAGAAGGACTGGTAGCCGGCGGAGGCGATCAGACACGCGGCCGAGGAGGCGCAGGACTTGCGGTACATGATTCCTGTGACACACAACAAGGGTTACTCCGTTTGAGGGGAACGCTCGACAGCAGGAATCCTGCTCAAAAGCAGCTGCAAGCCCAGTGCACATCCCCAAAGCACTGCTGGTGCTCAGACACCTCAGCAGTGACAGGACGAACAGCCCCGCACTGCCGCAGCACCGCGGTCGCTCTGCCCGGGATTTCTTTCTCGTTCGATCCCGGTTGGAACCAAAAATATTACAGACTTAATTTGCATAATGTATATCAAATGATGCATTTTATAGCTGGAATTCTTCATCTTTCAGAATAAACTGTTTGAATTGCTATAACTGAAATGCAATTAGTGGGAAAATTAGTTTTGTTTCTATTGCTGAACATGTCTGAGTTAAGGTGTCTAAGTAATTACAGCTTTCTGTGCTCTTAATTTGTCTTTTGAGGATGTTTTTTCCTTTTCTTGTTCCTTTGCCACACACAGACAGGTAACTAAGAGTAAAAAGAGGATGATTATCAGAAAAACTTTCATCCTCCTCCCTCCCCTTCTAATTTTTTTTTGAAGAAGAACTAGAAGTACTTTTCCAGGTAATCTCAGCTCTTGCTTATCTTTGAAGTTTAATACCCTCAATAACAAAAATTTCCATTTCTATAGAAGTGTCTTTCTCGAGTTGAAAGTCTTCCCTTTTTGAACGTAATTTAAGGTAATTTTAATTAATAAGCTAATTTATAATTTCTCAGATTGTTTGTAACTGAAAAAGTACATTCTGATGTATAAACTTTCAGCTGCTATTTTAACATGGTTTATAAAGGCTTTAAAATACACAGATGTATTTTCTTCTGTCACAGTGGAAAATGGTTATGGCACTTCCTCGTCTCATTACTCCAAAATTTTCCTACAAGTGATACAGTAGAAATTTTGTCTTAGAAAAACATACACATAATAGAAATTGATAATGGATGTTTGCCTGCTCCTAGTTACAAAAAGTAGTAGGGATATTCCTAAGGATGATAAAATCACTATTCTTTTTGAGTATGGGATTTTCAATAAGTTTTACTTTTATTCCTCCTGAAAAGCAAGGGATCAGAATTCCCTTGGAGAATGGTGCCTTTACATCCTGTGGCATGGGCCCAAAATGTCTTTAAACACACAGTGATTGAGACTTTTTTTTGGAGGGAGTGAGGAGGGAATATGACCCTGGTACTGGATGTACAGTGCCTGCAGATATTTGTTCAGTCCCCAGAGACTTAATAACCACTACAGCACCTCCATGGCCCAGGAAAAACCTCTGTAATTTGGCATCAGCCACTGCACCTCTGAGTGCTGAGAGCAGCAGCAGAACACCCTTTCTTTGGGCAGTGCTCAGAAAGAAGGATTTCCTGTCTTCAGAGGCTTTTAATTAAAGCAATTCTTTTATACTGTCACAACACTGCTGCCATCCCAACAATGCTGGGGTTTCCTTGTTTTGTGTTCTCCCTCTGCAAATCTCAACTCCGAAACGTGTTTTTAGGCTATCTATCTCATTGAACTTATGAAGAGAAGCCCTCAAGTGAGTGTTAAATCTTCCTCTGTCTCCAGTGAGCTTCAATCAATCAACACAGCAGGTAGAGCCTTTTCTCAAGAAGGAAGAGGAGCTGTGGGCTGTTCTCCCTGTAACAGCAAAAGCACACAGATAAAGCAATGCAGTCTTTATTACTACGGCTTGCAAAAAGAAGGGAGTTCTGTCTCTGCTGACAAACCACTGCTGTCAAGGAGCCTCAGTGGTGCTGCCACTGATTGGCTTTACAATACCAAAATCTCAGCTGATGTTCCCCAAAAAGACCTGATGCTTTGTTCATGTTCCTCCTGCAGTCCTCCCAGAGCAGAGGCAGATATGACCCTTCCCATGGCTACAATTAATGTTTTTCCTTCCCCTTCCCTGTATCCAATTAAACCAGGCACAATGACCTGATCCTGCATCTCCCCATCACAAATTATTTCCCTGAGCAACAAACACCCACAAAACTCAGCCATTTCTCAGCAGAAATGAACAGCAGTGAATTTGACTTTCCCCTCCAAAAACAAGGCTCTAAAAAGCTTTTGACCCTGGCAGATTTCCTATTCCCATCATTTTATAGATCACTCTCTTCCTGCTGTTTCCTTTTCACAGGTTTCCTGCAAAGCTCTGTTCGCAACTTGAACTAGTGATTTATTCGTTTGGATAATTTATAAGTGTGGAAACATCCCACTTTGCACTTCTCCCATAGATTAGGAGACTAGAATTGTTCACTGCTGTGAACAATTAGATGATACCTTCTGAGGCATGGTTTTCACCAGACAGCTCTAGGAAACCGCTCCTGCAAAAAAATGAAAGTCCTGCAGCTTAACTCCATGTGTTTACAACAGATCTGTTCTCCAGGATCAATCCCATAGAACAATCCTCAGCTCCTTTTGAAGTCAAAAAACAGTATTTCAGCACAGACTGAAATTTTACTACTCAAAGTTTCATGAACAGATGCACCATGTTCACACCTAAATAGGGAGAATAATCTGACTAGTAGCAAAATTCCCATGTAACACTTCTCCAGTGGATTTTCAGTAAATGCCTTACAATGGGAAATTTCACACCCAAATGATTGTTTATTCCCATTCCCTGTTTTAATAATCTAAATTTTTTGAGAGATTTTTTACTTAAAAAACTCAGCATTTCCATCAGGTTTTTAACAGCTCCTTTGCTAACAACATGCCCTTCACATCCAAGATTTTTTCCTTTGAGTACTGCTAGAGTCTCTTGATCTCACAAACCAGCTGCTATCACTCTTAAGCGCTTTTCACAAAGCATCAGGTACAAAGCAAGCTTGCTCAGCACAGCCAGGCTGTGCTCCCTCCCTCTCTGCTTCTGCAGTATCCTGACAGGAAGACACAATGCAAACAGGCACAGAAGTTGGTGGGGAAAGAGGGAATGTTAGCACTGCAGGTGTGACATTTTTAAAACACTTGTGCTGTGACTTCACTTACTCCTAAATGTTCTTCCTATCGTAATTCTGGTAGGAAATACATTAGTACAACTGAGTGTGATGATGTGATGGTAGGGACACCATCTCCTCCCTCCAGCAAACAGGTTAATGGGCCCCAGTAGCTTCAGCTCAGCCAGGACAGCAGCCTCCTCTCCCAGTTGTATCCCGAGATCTCTCCTCAAACTCCTCCTTTGCAGTATTGCTGAGCCAGTTCCAAAACCATCCCCAAGATCTCCCTGAATCATTTGCCACCAGCAGGCTGAACTGCAGACAGTTCTTCAGAATGGTTATCTGCCTCATAAGACCCATACCACAGACATAACTGCTAATTACTGGGTATTCTTGCCTGAGCAATCAGCCTGAAGCATTCATTAACATATCACCCAGAAAAATAACTGCAAACCTTTCTGGAAGCTTTTCTTCTACCTCAGATTGTTCTGAGTCATTGGCTAAGCAAGGAGACTTCACTTTTTACACTCTGCTTTTACCAGGATGGGGTCATTCCCAGCTACCCACCCTCAACAATTGACACCAGTGATCAATTAGCATATTGATGAATACTTAATTAGCATTTTTATTGCCCAATTACTTGATGGACAAATCCAGAACAATCTGTCCTTTTTCAAGGATTCAGCAGACCCCCAACAACAATTTAGGTACTGTAAAGATGTTTTACTGTGAAGGACCTACTACTGACCAACAGATTTTCCGGGTTTTTTTGGCTTCAGGGTTTGTGGGATGCAGATCAAGAAATTTCAAGAAAAAAGGGGAGTACACAGAGCTAGAACAGCTGTGTGATAACGAGCTTGTATCCCACACCCTCTCCTGTCACATATACCTACAACAGCAAAATGTTTGTTTTCAGGGTTTTTTTAAAAGCAGATTTGGGCTTAAATTTGGCACTGAAAATTTATTTCTAGACTAAGAAACTTGTCCATGGTTACACCCCTCTCTGCCCCACAAGTCATCACAAATTTAGACAGTGTCAAGGCCCAAACTGTTATTTCTGCCTTATTCCTTACAATGAAGGGATGGGTGTAAATCTTTAGGCTTTTCTATAATTCCTGCTTGCAATATTTATTTTCTCACCTGGATCCAGTCCAGTCCTGTGCATCTGCACCCTGGCACTGTTTTGTCCTTACACAAGTGCATTCTGTCTTGATTGTAACAAACAATTCAAGCATTAATTTATTCAAATCCAAAAGTGAGAGTTCTTTCCTCTACCCTCTCTGCACAGCCCAGTGCATTTCTCTTGAAGAACAGCTTAACTTGTTACTAGGACAACCAAAAAAGGTGACATCACACCTACTTCTTACACTGTGCATGCAGAAGGCACCAGCAGATCCAGTTTTTTTCTCTGATTGAAAAGAACCTTATTAGACACCTCTGATTGTTCTGTTGTAGGAGGTGCAGACAAAAAAGCTGCTGTGTAAGCATGACTCCAACTTTCCAGAGCCAAGCCCGATCCAAGCAGTGAGTGTGCAAATGCAGTTTGCACCTGT